CCTCCAACAACCCCTCAACCCAAAATAATTTTTGGATTTTACACTTGTGGTTGTGAGTGAACTTCTCATCACAGTGATAACATATGCCCTTGTCTCTCATTTCTCATGCCTCTGCAGGAGTCAGCTTCCTTATGGTTGGAATGGGCTTGGAAGAGTGCCTACTACCACACCCTTGGTGTGGCTTTCTAAACTCCACCTTCTTCTTCACATTCATCTCTTCTTCATGAATTTTGGCAAGACTAAATACTTCAGGCAATGTAGTTGACTGAAGTTTTTGGACATCGAGCTGAATTTCCTCCTTTAATAGACTAAAATAAAGATTGATCAAATAACCTTCAGACAACCCCCTAACTCGATCGGAGAGGCTATGAAATTCCTTCTGATATTCAAGTATAGTGGTGGATTGAATGAGTTTAGAAATCTTGCCTGAAAAGACTTCACTTCTACTTGGCGCAATCCTCACATCCAATGCCTCCATGAATTTGTCCAAGCTGCTACTTACTACTCTTAAGGCTTCCCCCTCTACATTTAAGGAGGTGATGGTGAGCCATTGTTCATGTGGTACTAGTTGGTAGGAGAAGTACTATTTTTGCTTTGAAGAGCCACCTTGTAGGATTCTTCCCATCAAATCTTAAAAAGTCGAGCTTCATTGTCCTAGTTTGAATGCCCCCAATATAACTGTATGTCTGTGTGGTACCTACTTCACCTGAATTGCCACCTCATATTGCAGAAGCATGGGTACATTCGTTTTATCCTTCTGGGTCTCTGTTGTGGGGCCTCATCTTATCCAACCTCCTAAGAATCCTGTCCAACCTTTACCCTTGTCTAGTTGTAGTTTCCCTCAACTGGTTCGAAACTTCTTTGAGTTATGTTGGATCTGGTGCAATCTAAAATCACTCACATCAGGAAATCCTTGTGGGATTAAGATATTCCCAAATTATATGGATTGAGATATTATCATATTTTGTGGAATTGATTGAGATATTCTCATATTTGTGGGATTGAGATATTCCCATATTTTGTGGGATTGAGAGTTTTTCCTAAAAGAAATAAAAATCCAAAATGATTAGGACTCTTGGATCTATATCGTAGTTTTGAGATATATGTAAGATCTATAGGAAGTTTCATATTTAATATGGAATCCTAATCTTATATATATGGGATGAAAGTGCAGAGAATTGGTGTTCCTTATTTGGGTCGCTATATGGGAATGGTAGATCCTCTAGAGAGAGAGGGAACTAGAGCCTCCTGTGTATAAGATGCAATTTTCTCTTAGAGAGAAGAAAGCTTCATTTGGACAAAAACATTGTGATGATGCCTCTTTTGGACTCTAAAAAATTGATAGACTTGTTTCTTGTAGAGAAGTGGTTCCCATTGATATTTTGGGTGGTTTCCCTTTTAGTAAGATAAAGTCTCGTTTGCTCTCAAATATTTCTTCCTTGACAATGGTCTAGTTATGGAAGAGAGATGAGAGATCAACAATGGTGCCGTTTGGGAAAGCAAGTTTAAAAGGATTTGCTCAACTTGTATTTTTGTCGAGGTTTGGTCCAAAATTTTTTATTTAACTTTCATTGGTATGGTGAATTTCAGTTTGTCATGCCCGTAGATGTATCCCTTTTAGGGTAAACCATATAAATATTTGTGTTATTGTTGTATGTGTTTCATATTTTATTTCTCATACTTTATTTGCCAAAAATCAACCTACCGGGTTTAAAGCTTCTGTGCACAACAAGTAGTATCAAAGCACAACATGTTCCTCCTGGGAGACTTGGGCTTCTCTTATTCTTTCCTCCATCTGAGCAGCAAGCGTGTTGGGAGGCCCATCCACCATGGTTGGATCATGCTCTGATACCACTATGCTGTGTTCAGATTTTGAAGATTGAAATTTAAACTTGTTTTTCTTGCTTCCTTGAGCTATGTTGCTAGAACACTGTTCAAAGATGACTCAAGATAAGAAGAGATAATCTCAGAAGGGAAATTGTATCGTTAGAAAATTCAAGAAAAAACTTCAAGATGATCCTCCAATGATTCAATTTCCATATTTACAAGACTCCACATGACTCAACATGCTTCTCGGCAACTAGCTACCAACATTCCTATTTTGTAGTTAACAATACCCCGCTAAAAGCTTATGGTTACATTTATTACCACATTCCTATTTTGTAGCTAACTACACACCACTAAAGACTACTTAATTGACCACAGTCCACGTTTGCATACAATTTTTCTTTTTTTAGCCATATCACCATCGTTATATCCATATTTTACGGAAATGCCACCGACATTCTAATTGCAAGTCTAGGCCTTGCGTTGCGAACAAAAGTAGAGTGGAACCTCAAATATTACTGGTCTTTGCACTGCTCATATCTTGATATCTTAATCTGAAAAATTGAAGAACAAAAAGGATCTAAGCCTCTAAAAGTCATGTATATCGGAGCTCAATATTTAAACCATCAAGTTTTAAGTGCTTACATATTTGTAAGATTTCTAAAAGTTTTAGGGCTTCACATTTCATAAGTGATGGGGCAATATAAAGCGAGTTTTATCGAAATAAAAATCGCTTCTTGACTATTTAACACTTTACTCTTTTCAATTGTTCCTACTCAAATTCATGTGTATTTTGATAGGCATTTTCAAAATAAATAAAAATATACAAGTAAATATTAAATATTAAATATCTTAATGCATTTTGAGAAACCTCCCCGATATAAAATTTTGGATTATAATGATGGTTTTCAAAACCAAGTCAACCAAGAATTGCATCTTTGAGCATGGTCGAAGTGCGATTTTATTTTCTCTTCATAAAGCATACGACTAGGGGAGGCAATGGGTCAGGTTCGGTTGGACCTGGAACTAGACCCGAATAGTATTCGGGTTTAGATTTTGGACCCGGACCCAACCCATTATGTCTAAAAGTTGAACCCATACCTATTCCCGTCGGGTCTGGTTGGGTCCATTGCCACCGTCACTATGAGCTTCATTATTTTTGCTATTTTTTACTATTATATAAATATATTATTGGCAACAAAGTCACAATCACCTGCCATTAAATTTCAAGTCGTCTGATTTGTTATTTAATAGCTAAAGATGACTACAAATTCTTATTGCATCCGATCCTTTATACACCCAAACAAATAGGCCTTGAAGTAGTTTATCTCCAATAGTTTACGGGTACGGGCTGGGTCTAAGTGGACCTGGACCCAGACCAGAATAGTGTTCAGGTCCAGGTTTTGGACCCGGACTCGACCTGTCAGGTCCAAATGTTGGACCCATACTTGGACTCCTGTCGGGTATCACCGGTGAGTCCTACGTCGGGTTCGGGTCATAGTTAGCAAATCTTCGTTTAAAACATGATTGTTTTCAAACAAATCAGTTAAAAACTCCTAGTTTTTCAAAGAATCTGCAAAAAATCATGTTTTTTTAATCGAACCGATATAAATCCGTATTTGATCTTTTTATAGAAGAGCTTTTCAAAAATACTTGTTCCTTATAACTTTATTTCTTCATTAACATAATATTATTGAATTTTAGTTTAAAGATAATATTAACAATGAGAGCAATAAAAATTTCACCATTGAGTTCCCTTAAAAAAATGTACGAAAATATACAAACAATATATTCTCCAAAAAAAGTAATGAAAACAATCGTATATCTCAAGAGAGTAATGATCTTATGAGACTCTCCTACACCCATGTGTGTAGGACCCCAAATGATCACTATTAAAGTTGGCACAGATATTTAGAAAAGTTATCACATGAGTATGAGACTTGACTCTTCTAGAGATCTGTGTCAAATTTAATGGTGATCCTTTGAGGTCCTACACATATGGGTATGGGAGGGTCTCATAGGATCATTACTCATCTCAAATAATAGGTACAATTAGAAGAAAAGTAACCCAAATTTTTTTTTATTTTTTCTTATTTTTAACCTATAGTGTCCTTATAAAGAGCAAGAGAGAGATTCAAGGATACAAAAGATTTAGTTAGCTAGAAATTCAATACAAGATTTGAATTTGTTTAAGCATTTTGTTTTGTTTTTTTATGCATAGACAAGTTTAACTAATTTTATATTTTATCTTCTATCTCATTACTGTATACAACATAGCATTTTGGATGGACCACTATTTTACATATTTGGTCTTTGAGTTTTCTTTTAATTAATTGTAATCCCTTATCGAATGTGTTTATTTATTTTTCTTTGAAAAATAATCCTATATCTTGGTTCACAGTTCTTGTTATTTGCTTATTAGTTCTTGTGTTTAGTATTGTTGTTGTTATTTCTTTTTATGGTCCTAATAAATTTACGATATGTTTTACATTGTGACAACAGAGTAAGCATTGTTATTGGAGTTATTGAAAGTTTCAACAAAAATATATCAAGTATTACTCTAATAACACTAGTAAGGCTATAAAATTAGTATTTAACAGCTTTAATATATTTGTACAATAGCTGCAAATTATAATCATATATTGTGTCATCACTACATATTTAATTTTTTTTATTATATTTTTTGAACCAAATCTGAAATATTCGTATTTCTATAATGTACCTTATTTTTTTGGACATCTGTATTTTTTAGCTGATTTTTTGTCCAAATTTTAAAAATAAAATCGATTTATTATCGATATTTTTTGATCCGCCGAAATTGTATTGTTACCCGAGGATCAATTGCCAACGCTACATACGCCTCATATATAAAACGGCATCCTGTTTTTTCGTGGGCAAGACGTTATTTCATTAGCTGAAACCCAGTGGAGGGTATTTTAGTCATTACAACAAAAGCAGTTAAACTTGTGTAACGTTCTGGTGGTGGGTGGGCCATCTCAGGCGTTATTTTTAGATAATGCAACACTCTCTCTCATCTGGAATTGTCCCTTTCTCTCTCTACAATACTGTAATTTTCTCTCTCTAATTTTCTTTTTCGCTCTCTACAAAAACTCATTCTCTCTCTGCAATTCTCTTTTGGTCCTTTTGCCATTAAAAGCCCCGCGGTCAAACGATGCTCCTCTTCGTCAAACATCTTCTCATCTCCTTTTTTCCCAAAACCCACACCCCAACTTTACAAAAAAAACACAAAAAAACACGACTTTCTCTTTCCTCCACTCTCTATCTCTCTCTAAAAAACGCAAAATTCTGTTCATTTCTCTGCAAAAAAAAGAGCCGAAATCTTAACGGAAAAATTCTGTTCATTTCTCTGCAAAAAAAGAGCCGAAAGCTTAACGTTGTGCTCTTTTCGTTGCTGCTATCATATTTTCATGGTAGTGGTGATGGAAGAGTTTAGGGTTCTGTTGTTTTGTTACATTATCTCCTCTTAATTCACACTGTTTTTTCAAATTGACATCAATTTTGAAGCTCTATTAATGGCGGGTGTTGGTGAAAATGGCGCTTCGGCTTCGTCTAATGCAGACTGGAGCGCACCAGCTCCGAGTCCGAGGTCTTTTATCTCTACATTTTTTGGAGGAGACGATTCCTCATCTGGGAAGCCTTTCCTGCTCGGTCTAGAGAGGGAAAAGGGCGAGAGAGAGAGCTTTGATGGTGGATTCTGGCAGAGATCTGGTTTCTCTGGCATGGGGTTCCGGAAAGAGTCTAGTTTTTCGGGCGGAGTTGATGGAAAAGGGAACGATAGGGAAAAGGGAGGGAGTCTCATTGAGAGGAGAGGGAATGGAGGGGTCCCAAGAATTAATGTGGCGAGGTTCAGATCGCTTAGCCCTCTGTCTTCTCCTGCTGTTCAGTCTCCTTACCTTACAATTCCTCCGGGTCTTAGCCCCACCACCTTGCTTGATTCTCCGGTACTTCTCTCGAATTCAAAGGTAGGGACCACTCTCTCTATTAACTCCTGTTTGGAGGGAAAAGATTATCCATTCTATTCACTTGCTGGCTCGTTCTATTTATTGGTGCACAATTATTGATATTGTTAATGTACCTGATATTGTTAATGTACCTGTCTCTCTTTATGCATATATTTATCTCTCTGCGTGCGATATTACTCATGCAGCTCTCTCTCTCTGTAGATACATATAGATATCTATCTATCTATGCATGCTTGTATCTCTGTTTCTCTTTGTAGAGAATTATAGATTATCTCTTTGTGGAGAATTATAGATTTATTGTTTATCTCTCTCTAGCTTGCAATGTTGATTAGTACAGCATTACTGATATTTTTCATGCAGCTCTCTCCTCTCTCTCTTCTTTCTTCCATGTTGAATAGTAATGTATTTACTGGTACGGCGTTACTGATATTGCTCATGTAGCTCTCTCCTGCTCTCCTGCTCCTCCATCCCCTGTGTATTTATCTATTATCTAGTTGTGTCTCCGCTGATTTACAAATATTTTTCACGTTACTAGCTCTCACTGTGTGTGTGTGTGCCCACCTATCTCTGTAGAGCATGTATGCATGTATATTTGTTTTCGGTACTGACCCTAAATAGTTAGGATAAGGCTTTGCTGACGATGATGTCTATGTGTCTTCTATCTGTTTGTGCAGAGTGCAGACCGGGTTCATATAATTAGCTTGCTTGGTGTTTGGTGTTCTGAGATTGTGGTGCTTATCTGATTAGACAGAATGCATGTTAGGATGGATTTAGTTAGTATGATGCATTTGTTTGTTTTGTCTTAATTCTTATGGTATCCCAATGTACTTGGGATGGACTGAGATCGGTCATTGGATTATAGAGTTTTAAATTACTCATGGTTTTTCCCTCCTAGATTCCTGGGCATTCCATGATATCTCATATTTGATTTTAGATGAAGTTCAATGTATAACATGAGACTTATTTTGGCTTACATTTAAGAATCGTTGTCCGTGTTTATGTGTAGAGCATAGAGACTAATTTTAGCTTGCAATTTGGAAGGGTGTTTATCTGAACTGCACTGATTGCTCTTAGTTGCATCCCATCTATTTTTCAGTGCTTATATCATTTTTTTTTGTTGGAAATGAGATTCTTTTGTGCACAATGTGGTTAGTTCAGCTAAAACCCTATCTTTAACACAAGCTATAATTGTGAAGGATTATAACATGCTCAGGAATCCATATGGGATATGCTTGTCACTCTTGTTATATTAATGAATTAAATGGTGATGCTATTCATCATCTACTTCATCTTAAAACATTGCTTAAGTCATTTGCCATAAATAACTCTACATACTAAGATTGTTTCGGCTTTCTCTTTCGTTACATTTAGTTTTAAAATCTTTTATTACATGCTAACGCTTCTCTTTGCTCAAACTTACTATTTTTATCTGGTAATGTTTCACAGTATGTGGTTGTCCGGTCCTTTATCAAATTAGTTAATTTTGGTACTAGGAAAGTATGCGCAACTTTATTATGATTTTTGTTTGATGAAATGTGATATGAAATTGTTTCTGCATATGGATTAGTTGAGATGTTCTGTTGTAAGTTTTATGAAAGCAGCTTTTCACATAAATACGAAATAACCTGCTGCCTTTTTATTGTACTATATTCTTAAGGATGCTAATTGGCTAAAATTCTGGAAACTAGCTTTCTGCTTTAGAATTGCAGTTTAAGGAATTTTGTTTTCTCAGATTTATGGCCATATGCACTTCTTTATAATCTCAAATTTATGACCATATGCACTGATTCCCTGTCTACCTCTTCAATAAGTGTTAATGGTATTCTTAATTGTTTTATGCCATAAATACCCAGATACCTTCTGTGTATGAAATATGGCAATGCACCTCGACCACATATTTTTGATGAAACTGATCTTGCTCTCTCTCTATGTGTGTGTGTGTGTGTTGTGTGTGCCTGCATGTGATCTCGCATTTGTGTTCATGCCTGTGTTCACGTTTGTTTTTCCCATTTGATGATGAATCATGATTTCAGGCTCAACCTTCCCCAACAACTGGAACTTTTCCATTTCCACCTCTCAGTCAAAATAGTTCAGAATCAGTTGCAGCTGCGTCTGATGCAAATAGGGACGAAGATATTGATGACTTTGATCCTTCCTCATTTGTTTTCAAGCCTCATGTAGATTCAGTCTCGGTGTCTTTCTTGCAAGATGCAATCAACCAGGTAATTATTGGCTGGCAGTTTGCTTGCAGCTGAGAATGGTTACATACACGTGGTATTCCTAAAACTCCATGTAATTCCTGGCTTACAATTAATAACTGCATAATTTTCTCTGGGGTTATGATTATGCAACCATCTTTTTACACTGTCCCAATTGTTTTAAATGAGTGGCAGCCTGTTGGTCTGGCATTAAGTTTTTATCTTTGCTGATAATTTTGTAGGATACTATTTTAACCAATATAATTCATTGGAATCTCATTGCATTGCATCTATTTTAGAGATTCGAGGGAGAAACTGGGCATGTTCAATGCTTGCTAATTTATTTTACGAGTAGTATCTGGTTGTTTAATGTTTTGGAGGTACATATGATTGTAATTTTCACAAGAATCGGGCATTGTCTAGATGGATGCGCTCTGGCGTTGTCTTGATGGATGTGCTTTTGGGATTTGGTTAACAAAGTTGAACAAGTTAAGGGTGTTTGGTTGGATATGCTTTTCGTTTGACCTGATGCTTCACGTGATTTGACCTAGTTTTAGCCTGTATTTGCATGACCTCAGCTTTATGGAGTATATTTTCAAATAATAACCTTTAAAACAGTGCTCAAGACCTTGTTTTGAGATTTTCTGGCTCATCAAAGTCGACGGGACTCACAGGGTCCCCATGTTTTATTATGAGCAGGTTTAAGTGAGATTTCAGTTTTTAAATGTTATTACCAAAATATACTGTGGGTCTTGTGGTATGTATTGGCCCATTTAGTCTTGGTCTCAATTTTGAATCCTGCAGTTGGCACAAAACTCTTTTCTAAAATTGAAAAACTGAGGTGAATGAACTTGGTTTTGATTATGACTAAGTTCAAGTTTTCGAAAACTGCTTTAAAGATAGCGTATCATCCTGAACTTTAGACATATTGACTATCAAATGACTACAATATCGCAGAAAAAGGATTTTTGGGTGAGGCATTGTTGGGAAGAAACATATATCATAAAGGAATTTCTTGAGGCTTATGGGGCTTCGGTGAGCAGCCTACTAATTGGTTCTCTAAGTTTCCTGATAACGTGCTGATGCTACGGGGTGCAATGTTACTTAAAGAATGTTCAAGAACATGAATTTCTTCAAATGGTTATTTTTTATAAAATTTGATGCCTTTGGTGGAAAGAATAGAGAAGTAGAATCTAGCTTAAAACCGATGTTGTCCATCATAAGTTTAATAATTCTGTAACTTAACTGTTAAAATATTGACCAAGAATGAGGATTTGCCGAGTGCACCAAAATACGTTGAACCAATTAGAGCATGTTTTGTAATTTGATATCTACTATGGTTCATGAAAAATGAAAATTAAGTTTATCAAGTTGCTCGGTAAACTATATGAACTTTTTAATCCAATTCAGGGGAATATGCGACCCATATCTCAGAGGTGCATAAGTTTAAGGGTATCCACAAAGAGCACTTTAGATTCTGGGACATGAGTCAATAATTGCTTATTGGGACTATAAAATTATTAGAACTCTTTGAGGGGTGAACTTTAACCAACTGCAAATATGCAGATGCCAAATTTATAAGATATGGGGTGGAGAGCAATCGAGTTCTTATCTTATTAAAAAAAGCTTGGTTCTTGTTATCATTCATCATCATCATCTAAGCCTTATCCCAACTGTTTGGGACTGCCAAATATTTTCATGCATGCCCATAAAATATTAGGATTGAGTTAACACTTGTTACAATATTATGCCTAGAAGTACAATAATCAAAGATCATGTTTATTGACGCAGCTGAAAGAAACATCAAATGCCTGAATGGCCTTCTTAATGAAAGACTGGTCTATATTATCACATAGGATCTCTCTCAGCAATCATGTATAGCTGCTGTACAAGAAATTCTGATCATAAGTTTTGCACCTTGGATGAAATATCTGTTTAAAGATTGATGGAGTTGAAAGCAATGACCAAACATCACTTTATGTACTTTCAGCTGTTGTGATCTTTATTTATCTTTAAACTCATGCGTCGTGGTAAGCAAGGAGATAAAAAGATCTGACAGAGATTTTATTTGGAAAAATATGTTCTTCATTTATGAAGGTTTTCCAATCGTTGTCGAGCTAGATGAAACAAGTGATTTACAACATGCTTACTTATGAGGCAAATTATGTAGCATAAAAGATTGCATCAGCTGTGGGGAGAGTTTTAGGGATGTTGTGTTACATTTTTTCATTCTCGCCTTTTTTTTTTTTTCTTTTTACTTTTTTTTTTTTATGTGGCTTTGCGGTTGTTGTCTATCTAAAAGGGAAAAAATGATCTGTATGGTGGGTCTCTATGTTTACTGTACAGTAATTTATAATATTGTGAGGTGTACTTGTAAGGTCATCCCTCAAAGTTGTCTACAGAACACCTTAATGAATAGATTACTGGTTGATCATCTCCCTCGGGGTTCCTCAGGGTTACCTTCATTTAGAAGGTCCCATTGGATTGTCATAAGCATTACGCTGATATTTTGAGGTTCTATCTCATGTGCATGATAGATTTTTCTATTATCATTATTTTCCTCTTATCTTGATTGCTTAATGTATGATTATATCGATGTACGAGTGACACAAACAACATACTGATGACGTGTTCATTCTCTGGCTTTGTGATGTTCAAAGGGGCTTTTCCTTCTAATGTTCCCATCATTACTACTGTTGATATGTAGGCTAGTAATGGTAACCTGCTTAGTTCTTTATTGTATTGCACTGAGTATAAGTATCATTGATATTGCCTCCTTGTCATCCAGGCCTCTGTCGACTCAAATCAGGCTCAACCTGTGGCAGGGTCTGAAACCCATTGTCAGAGTCAATCTCATGGACAACCACAAGCGGAAAATGAATATCAGGCAGCTTTTGTAAAATCAACACTGCTGAGCAATAGCACAAGTGACCCTGTGCCTCATCCTGAAGCTCCCAACATTAGGGTTGAAGAAACCAACTGCATTTCCCTTCAAGGTGGGCCTCCTCCTGGTGTGCCTGTTGAACAAGTTCCTGAGCACCATCATCAACAAATTGTAGAGGATTTTGGGGGGCAGCAAATTTTTGAAGGAGATTCGAAAGCAGCATTTCCTGCCACCATGGCAGGAAGGCCATCAGAAGATGGATACAATTGGAGAAAATATGGACAGAAACAGGTTAAAGGTAGCGAGTATCCTCGAAGCTATTACAAATGTACTCACCCCAATTGTCAGGTAAAGAAAAAGGTGGAACGTTCCCATGATGGTCAGATCACTGAAATCATTTACAAGGGATCCCATAATCACCCAAAACCTCAGCCAAATCGTCGCTCAGCTGTTGGATTAGGGTTTCCAGGTAGTGAGTTTTCAGATAGACCTGAACAAGCCCAAGGTTCTCTTGTCAAAGTTGAAGGGGGCTCAGTATGGAGGAGCTTTCTGGGGTCTGTTAAAGACAAGGGGGGCACAGAGTGGAGGGGAGATGGCCTTGAGAGGACTTCTTCTGCCTCTGTTGTAACTGATATTTCAGACCCATCTTCGACTGCTCAAGCGAAACAGTTTTGTAACCTTGATTCTACGGATACTCCTGAGCTTTCATCAACGTTACCCAGCGATGATGAAGACAGGGCTACCCAAGGAAGTGTATCTCATGGAGACGATGCTGATGAAGAGGACTCTGAGTCTAAGCGAAGGTAAAATTCATTTTTGGGATAGTCCTATCCTCTTATTGAAGGACAAAGTCTAACTAGGGTGAGTGTGTTTGGTGGAAGAAGCAGCTGCCTTTTCCACAAGCTTTGGAAGCCGTGGCTTATGGGGTGGTATGGATGCTGTGGCTTCTCCATTTCAACGCTGTATTGGAAGCTGTGGGAAGCCACAGCTTCCAAAACAGCATAGCACTTTCCATTAATAAACACAGAGTGCTACAGTAGCTGGAAGCCACTGCTAATTGAAGCTGCGGCTTCCAGTTATCAAAAACTTCTTGGCTTTGAAATAATCTAAGTTAGCCTCTTCTTGAAAGTTCCTTAGTTTCGCAACCTCCAAGTAGTTGGCCCTTTCAATCTTCATCAGTAGTTAGTCAAGTGGAGCCTTCATAACACTTTTTACTCCTATCTTTCTCAATTCATTGATCGACGGCCGCCCTCTACCCGGCTGGTAGAGTTCTCATCCTTTTGTTCCCTCACCGAATCAGGATTGCAAGCGGTTCATGCGAGCTGTATGGAATAAGTGGATTCAATGGAGATGGTTACGATATCACAGATGTGGATTGCCTTTCGTACGAGAATTGGTGGATGGGAGGGGGCTTTTTGTACATGACTATGTTGAATGAGAAACGGGGATCATAGCAGTTGTGCAACCATGGAATAGCGAAGCTTGTGAACTTAATGGAACGGTCTCGTTAGAGTCAAATCCGCGCAAGGAGATTCTTTTTCCCTTGCCGGAAGCCAAGATCCCTCGACGAGGTAGGTAGATACTACGGATCCTCTGATTCCCTGCTTCTTTGAGAGTCTATCCAGTGGTCCGCGACCAACTAAAAGACCGTGAAAGAAGCCGCCTGGAGCCCCGATCATGAGAGTTTTGGTCGCGAGTAGGCAGACGTGGTTGTCCTTGTCACTCTGCTCGAATGCCCTATGAATTTTGAATTCATAAATCAATTGGTGGAGCGGAATCAAATTGATACACAACTAATTAGTATCAATTCTTTTCAATTCAAATTACATTGATTCAATAATCAATTCATATTCAAATGAAATTAATCATAATTATAACAACGACTCTGTGTATATGTAAACCCCAAACAAGAATTATTACACACCTAGTCAGGTATTTTATTTACACCTCCTTATAGGGAACCGTCTGTTCCAACTTTGAATCAATCAAATTACGGGAAGCTTCGTAAAGTGCCTCTTTAGGAGTTAAATTTCCATTTTTCCATATCTCTAGAAAAAATATCTCTTGTTTTTCATTCTCATTTCCATAACATTGAATACTATAATTCGCATTTCGAACAGGCATGGATACAACATCTATAGGATAACTTGCATCTTGATTGGTGGTTCTTGTACGATATCCGCGATTTCTCTCGATTTCTAATCCAATACAAAAATTAATTGGTTCTGTGATACTATATATGCTGTGTAGTATCCACTATTTTCACAGAAGGTGGTGAGATTTATCTTGAGCAGTTACATATTTAGGACCCCTAACACAGATAAATGCATCATGAGTTCCGTACAGATCTCTTCTAAATATAATTTCTTTCAAATTCATTAAAATTTTATGTACTGATACCTCAATACTTACTATTGTAGAATATTCATGTGGTACCCTCTCAGATTTTGCACATGTGATACATGTTCCTTCTATTTCTCCAAGTAAAGACCTTCGCATCACGATACCTATCGTATCAGCTTGACCTTTCATAAGCTCATGCCCTTAATGTTCTGGATACATTTACATGGAAGAGAGAATCTTTTACTGATATGCATGGACTGGAAAACATAACATTGCCCTGCATTTATGCCGATTACAGGAAGAAGGACAGTCTTCTGATTGAAACCAACTTGGGCTCCAGGGCTGTACGTGAACCAAGAGTAGTTGTGCAAACGACTAGTGAAGTTGATATTCTTGATGATGGATATCGCTGGCGCAAATACGGGCAGAAAGTTGTTAAAGGAAATCCAAATCCAAGGTAAGTGAATATAAATGGCATCCTTTGTACATAAACATGGTGAGATTTTCATTTAAAAATACCTCTGGCAAGATTATTTTCTTTTCTCAGATCCTGTGTGAGCATGAGCGTTATTTGAAATTCATTTAATTTTGCATGATATCTACATTTTAGGAAGTTTATCCACACTAATGGAAATATGTAGAAAGGCATTTCATGTTTAGATATTGAGATGAGTCTATAAATGATGATGCTTCTATTAGGATCTAGCGTGGTTTATCAGGAGTTCACCTGGGCAGAACGCAGAACTTATGTTTTGTAAATTATTCTATGCATGTTCCTGATTGTTGATGAACATAAGGAAGAAATGAGCAGAACTACTTGTCCCGCTGCTAAATTTTTGTTTCTTAATGGGTGGCTTGGTCACTATGGAGGGGATAAATTTATTCTCTCAAGGACCCTCATGGAGACCTATTTTTTTTCTTTATTGCAAAAATCTAAGGGACTTATTGACTTTATTGGCTAGACGCATTACTAAAAGGGCCTGCTACAACAGATCCTAAGGAATCTGATCTCAATGGAATATTAAGTAGTTCTGTATAGTTCCCAGATCTAATGGCAGATTCATCCCCTACATGAACATGGGATTAGTTCAGTTGTCAAAAAATGAATGGAGAAAACATGGGCATTGACTTACTGGCCCATACCTGGTGGGGCATGAGGGAACATGGGCATTGACTCACTGGTCCATTCCCTGGTGGGGCGTGCATTATTGATGGGTAACACTGATTAGGATCTAAACTTGCAACATATATTTTAATCCTCTCCTTACATTATGTTGTGGCTTAATCACTAATGAAAGCAGTTAATTTCTGTGATTTTATGTATCACAACTAATGCACCTATATCCCTCTGTCAAAAATTCTTGACACGTTATTGCCTAGTCTCAAATTTTGATTAGAAAAAATTTACTCTATCTTGCTTGTACCCTCAGCCTAACTTTTGTTATGCATGATTCTACTCTTTAATAGCTTGCTATTTCTTGCTTGTGCACAATGGTCATGTATATGTATGCAGTTACTTGAGCTTGCACACATGCAGGCTATCATACACTATCTTCATATCGTATCTATATTATATAGGCAGACACCTTTTCTTTTAGCTTGAATATGACAAGGGGTTCCTATTCTCTTTGCTTTCTCGAGAATTTAATGTGCCCTTCGTTTTCATTTTTTTTTTGTTTTAATTGGCATGTCCAGGTGTTCATTTACTTCATTTAAAATGAAAACAATTTACATAAACGTGGATTGTTTTTGACTGGCACAAATGAGTATCAGCTGCTGTTTGATTGGATTTGCCTCATTGGAAATTTTATGGAGCAGCTGATGAAAATTATGCCCTTCTTTTTCTTCTTTTTGATGTCGTTTTCACTTATATTGTTGTCAAATTCATCTGCACTGCAAAATGCATTATGCAGCTGCATCAAGTGTTGTGCAGCATGTACTGCATCAAGGGACCCCACTCTCACCAGGGGTGCATCACTCACTTATGTGGGTGCATCGTATTCAAGACGATTCACCTGCTTATGGGGCCCACTGCTCTTGAGCAAAAATATGCCCACAAGCAGGGGCAATATGGTCCCCCGCCCCCAAAATGGGGGTGGAAAGGTTTTCTTTTTCTTTCCTTTTTTCTGTCTGTCTCTCTATCTCTCTCTCATTCTCTCTTTGTCTTTGTTGGGGGTGGGGGTGTTTACCCCAGCAGAACCTTTAGAACCATTTTGTCATGGTTTTAGGGGATTTAAACATCAAGATTGAAATCCATTTCTCTTCTTGACTCCAACGTTTTGTGAAAAGAATTTAGGGCTTCTTTGGGTGATCATTTGAGTGTTTTGGGTTATGTTTTGAAGATTTCTGGACGAGGATTAACCAGGTGTAACTCATGTGGTGGAGAGCTGAGACCTAGTGTATTTATTATCTTATGTATTCTATATCTCATTGAATTTTGGTATTTGGAGATTTGACTTCGGAATTTGGATGTTAATATATACCCGTGAATGGTGATCATGAAGTAATTTTGGTCATTGGATTATATGTCATGTGTCATGACCCATGACTCTTTGGAATTTTGATTTTGATTTGTTTAATTTAATGAATGGGATGGAATGGATTGCTTTTTTTACATGTTAATTCTATTAGCCTTTTAGAGAAGAATGGGGACAATAAAAATGCCTACTATTACATAACTCATACATTTATGTTTTTCTATGCATTCTTATTTTTTTATAGGCATAATTATAGCATCATCCACTGCAGGTTAATTTTTCTCTGAAATCTTATTTCTGTGCTGCAGGGAAGGGAATCTCGCTCCTCCATGATTTTTAAACTTTGGATTATCGACCCTTCCCATTAGGGATCTAGATCTTGAGTCATAGGGTATAGCAGTGTATTGTTTATAGCAATGTGGTATGGTATAGTGGTATAATACAACAGTATAATGTAATATGGCCATGTAATATAGGCGTATATATTATAGGAAAAAATTTATATAGGGTGTTGACCTTATATTGCTAGAAGTAAGGTTCGCATCAAAAACCCACCAAAAGACTTTGTTTTGACATTGGAGTTCATCTTGACCTCAACACATATGGATATAAAAAAAAATTGATATCAAGTCCGGAAGATAGTGCATCGTGTAGCTCATTATTTGGACCGTCCATTTTCAATATTTTCAAGTGTTTATAGATCTACTCGATGTACACCGTTTTTAGGGCTTTAAATTTCACAATTAGGAACTAAAACAATTTTTCAGACCATCACAAAGTTTTCCAGCACCGAAACTACATCTTATAGCATAGTTTAGAGGTGCACTTTACTTGGATTGTTTAAGGTTGATGCCTTATACAAACCACACCCCATACTATCTAGTATAGTATATGTAATATAGTTGTGTACAATAGCATATAGTATAGTATAGTATAGTAGAATATACTATAGCATATAATTATAGCAGTATATTTTTGAATAACAGTGTGGTATCATATGGGAGTATAAATATATTATATAGGATTGAGCTCCATTTTAACCAAATGGAGCTCAATCCTATATAATTTATCATTCCATCTGGATTAAATTTGGACAGAGGTCCTCCACATATTGGGATCAAGATCCCTATAGTTTAGGGTGCACGGACTGCAATACCTACCATAATAAGCTTCCTATATGTCACAATACCTCGGACTCCATCCCTATCCTGTATCTGATTTGATTCTGTTTCTTTTAAGTATTTTTATATTTTATATTTTATATTTTTTAAGTTTATTGACCACATTGGACCTAATGTGCCCACATCGGGATCACATTGTAGCCACATAGCGCATTGGTCCTGCATCCCCCATTTGATAACACAGAGTATACAATACATGTAGTAGTTTTCCATTATTGCTCTATTTATACCCTTTTCTGTGTGTGTCTTTTGGCTTGTGGGGCCTTGCTGAAGTTCTTACACAATTTTTTCTCTTGTAAGATTCTTATCATTATATTCATCTCTTTAGAGGATTTTTTTGTTGCCTCAAGCTCTAGTAGTTCGATGGGCTAGTGGGGATCTTTGTTTAGGGTGGAGGAGGTCATATTTTGGTTCTGCTGAAAACTTGCATTTGATCTAGGGGAAGTTAGTGGTGTGCACAGAAGGGGTTTTTTGGGAATGTACCTGTCAAGAAAAACATCCTTGTTTGAGAAAATTGTCAATCTGGTAGGATTATAGAACTGAGTTTTGGTTGATAGAAGTGGAGTCTACAAGGCAGGACTTAGAGAAAGTGGTCATTGGAAGGCATTAGCAGAGGTCCTGGATGGTGGAGCTGTTTAACTCACAATTACCGGGTATTAATATAAGTTTATGTATGTTACATACGTGCACTACTATTTGTATGCTACGATTAGAAATGTACATTGATGCACTTTCTACAAATGATGGTTTCTGGCTATGGATTTTAATCACCTGCTACAATGAGGGGCCATGCCATTAAACATTTATGAAACGGAGATCTTCAAAAGCAATCAAGATGTGTCATCAATCTCCTCCAAGGTAGTTGGCTGAACATCTAGCATCCCTCCGTGGTGTTTTGGTGGTTGAAAATTTTTCTCACTGCCCTCTGTAGTCTTAGTTTTTGGATTCTGTCCATCAGAAAATGAATTTTCAGTTTATTTCATCATTGTTGGGCTTTCTGACATGCTGATAGGTAATAATGGTAGGTTCACTTAGATCTGTTGTAGAAATTGGTATTTGGGGATGGGTTGATACACATGAACTGTTATTTTGGCTCATCTGCTATATTACTATATCATACAGCCAGGAGGTGCTGTTTGAGAACCAAGACTGCTATTTTGTGTGTTGCATAATTCCATTTCCATGAAATTTGGTATGAGTGCATCAAGTTTGCTGGCTTAGGAATGGGCTCATGGCCTAGGTAGTCAGGATAGTAGGGTGCCATGGCGTGGCATCTTGGGTTCATGTGGTGTCTTTGGTTCCATTTCTACCAGATCCCAAGTTGACATTAAAAAAAAAAAAATGCTGATTTTTCTGAGTCTATGATTAGTCATGATATTTTCTATCGATCTTGTCTATCACTTTTGTGTCAATCGACTATTTCTCACTATGCACCTTCTACAGGAGCTACTACAAATGTACCAATGCTGGATGCTCAGTCAGAAAACACGTTGAAAGGGCCTCCCATGATGTCAAGTCTGTTATCACCACGTACGAGGGCAAGCACAACCATGACGTACCCGCTGCTAGGAATAGTGGAGCACACGCCAGCTCTTCTGCCCCTTCTAACACGGGCACCGCCACCTCCTCTTCACCCCCCCAAGTTCAACCACTTGCACCTCCCATAGTCCCGAAGCCTGAGCCCCAACCCCAAGACCTAGTCCCTCGTTTTGGGAGAGCACCTGAATTGAGCTCTAATTTCATGGAATCACATACTCTCCCTAGCCTTAATGGTGATATAAAGCTTGGGGTTTCAACCAGTTATGACATGAAACTTCCTCCTTTGCAAACTATGCCTTTAAGCACTTTCGGGATGGGCATGGCCCATGGCAATGTGCATCACTTTGGACCCACATTGCCCAACATTGGCCCCACACCAAACTTTGTGGGGCCGTTTCCTATCAACATGCGTAGACCTCAGAGTGTTGGTCACGGGTTTAATGGTGCAAAGCCAATGCATGTGCCCATGCCCATGCCCATGCCCATGCCTATGACCATGGGTTCTGTTCAATCTTATGGGATGCAGCCTAAAGAGACCGAGTCAAGGTTCTTGAGACCGAAGGAAGAGCCGAGAGGAGAGCCCATGTTTGAGGGGCGCTTGCCTGTTGGCCATGGGGCAAATGGGTCACCTTCTGTGTACCATAATCATCAAAATCACAATCAGACTGTGGGGAGGTTTCCTTTGTAAATATGGTCAGCGGCTTTAGGAATTTGGAGCTTTCTGGCCACTGTGTAACATTATCTTATACACAATGTTTTATATCGGCTGCAGCGAAAGAAGCAATCTGTACTTAAATCATATGTTGTAATGGATTGTTTCCTTGGTTATAGAGGTGTTGTTTTATGGGCAAGAGGGAATCCCTCATGAATTGTTTCCTTGGTTATAAAGGTGTTGTTTTATGACCAAGAGGGAATCCCTTCCGCCCCCCCCCTCTCCCCCTCCCTCCCTCCTCCTCCTCTCCTCTCTCTCTCTCTCTCTCTCTCTCTCTCTCTCTCTCTCTCTCTCTCTCTACTCTCGTCTTCGTACTCTACTACTACGTACCGTAC